GGGTGCGGGGGGCGCGGGGGGTGCCGGCACATGTAATTATGCTCAAATGTCGTGTAACCGTTTAAAACGATCGATCGATCGAGTGATGTTTGCATACTATTCTTAAATGAAAATGTCAATAAAATGGTATTTTAAAAGGCAAAGTTGGTTTTAATTGACCCTTTATACTAATTCAATATTAAATATAACGATACAAACGCAAAGGAGAGAAGTAGAAGAAGGAAACGAACAAGGACCGTCAGATGGGATGTCACTGCTACTCGACACTGACAATTACTAATTAGAATAAATATACAAATATAAAACCTGTTACAAAGCGTTTCAATCTTTTTGATCAAGACCATAAACTTCAACACAGTGCTACAACTAAAATTGTGTCCAGTGTACTGACATGTCCGATCCGCCAAGATATTATACTTTTCGACTAGGATTCAACAACATAATATACTTAATTATTGGTAAGGCGCACAAGGAAACACAATAGCAGTTTTATTATCTTTATTTGTATGATCACGGAACATTAGCCTGGCTACGCTCGGCGGCGCGCTTCGTGTAATGCAACGAGCAGGAGCTATAATTTTACAAGGCGATGGCCCCTCGCCGACAGCCTCACCTCACATCACTCTTAAATAAATCACATTCATAGATCACTTATTCAATACAACAATAATAGTACATTTATGTGGATTTACCTAAAATATAACAAATTTTCTTAATATTAACTAAGTGGCGACATCTTTATCAATTTAATTTAAAGCGATCGTTGCAAAATGTCAACTGTGAGAGGAGTCAAACATTTACTGCTCTACTTCACTTAAAACAAAAAAGATATTAAATATTCACAATAAATACAATAAGTGAGTTATCACTACAGTAAGACTAACAATATTCTAACCTACAGCAGTGGACGGTGGTAAATACATAGACTTTTATAAATTAAATAATTGTATAACGACTATCATTCTACAATTACAAAATATCTTTGCAAATCAGATATTATTTGGTATATTTTATGTTGGCTAAACATTAACCTACTCCATCGATACTCCTAAGGAAGTGTAGAACGAGAATAAAATCCGCCTTGCTATACGCACATGTTGATAATAAAAATATCTAAGTACAAAATAAACGATTGATTTCAAAATGATTGTATAGAAGAAAAAATAACAAAAATATTAGAACAAGAACATAATTATGTATGTCATATGAAAGTTATTTCGAAATACAAAATAATTTAAAGAAATCATCATTTTGTTTGCATAACACAGCATCGATTACAAAATAACATCGTTAGTTGCATCAATATTATTAAAAAATAGAAACTGTTATTTAGTTAGATCGTAAGCTGACATACAAGTAGGACATCTTCAGTGCCGGCGTTAAGGTAGGGCGCGATTTGTCGACCGCCCCCGGCGTCACATGTCTGCGAATTACTACCCCTCCTAGTTATGGTAAAAAAAGATAACGCTAGTAGAGCAAAGACCGGCACTGAAGATCTTTCTCAGGCGGGAAAATAATATATTTACATATAAAAGTAGCTATTGCTCGTAAAAATAAGATTAAACCATCTGTGTAAAAAAACATTGGTCCTTGACATTTATGTACAGTAATTACGTAGAGATGCAGGGAGATGGTGAAAGACTAGCTGGCCGATTTGGACTCGATCTCCTCCTGCTCGGGCACGTAGTAGTGCAGCTCGTAGGCAGGCGAGAGCTCCACGGTGACGTTGTCGCAGGCGGGGTCGTAGGGCTCGCGGCGCGCGTACCCCGCCCGCGTCTTCACCGGGCTGTACAGGCCCTTGAGGAAGGCGCGCGACGCGGCCGCAGCCTCGCTGTTGCCCGCCGTGTTCGCGTGCATCACCGTGTTGTTGTACAGGACGGGGGAGTTGGCGTGGTAGCGCGCGTCGTTATGGTTGAAGTTGTCCACGAACCTCTGCATGACGTCCTTCCGGAACTTCGAGTCGTAGTCTTCGTTGAAGTTCGGTCTGTCTCTCTCCCGTGCAAGCAGGTCGCTGATGGTGACGCCCCTGACGGGTGCCGGCGGCGGCGTGTACGTCATCAAGCCCGCATCTCTCTCGTAGTCGTAATCCTTGGCGGCCTGCTCTATGAAATCTTTGTAATTCTTCATCACGTAGGAGGCCCTGTGGAAGCCTTCCGTGTGGTCGTTGGCCCCGAATCTAGCCTTTTGTTCGGTTGATACCCTCGGGGGCTCGGTCTGCGACAGATATCTTGTATAATCGTTTGAATTGTACGTGTTCGGTGTCTCTATCGGTGCCACGGTATTCACGTAAGTGGGATGCACATTGTGTTGGTCCTCTTGATACCGTGAGCTGTATTTACCTAACGGGGTCTCCGGCGAGTTGGTCAGCGTAAACGACGTCACTTCTTTCGGAGATGTTATTTTTGTATGGGATTTAATTTTAGTTTTACGGTCTTTATCGAATCTGTTAGGTTTCGGCTGATTAGTATTAATTCGCGGAGGGAAGTATTGTATTGTTGCCTTTCTTTCAGGCATAGGCAGTGTCTCTGGTTTTGTAAATCGATACGGTAAAGGCGCAGTAGATACAAAGGGTCTCTGTGTGAAGTGAGTTGGAACGGAGTATTTTTTTAATTCCAATTTTGCCAACTGTAAGTATTCCGATTCGTCCTCGTTTGAAATATCATAGTAATCAAAAACATTAAAATATTTCTGTTCCTTGTCGATTGCGGAAGAATTGTATTTTCCCTTTTTGGACAGTATCTCTTTCGTCTTATTATGAAGTTTACTAGAAACATTTTGTTGTGCTGTGGTCGTAGTTGAATTTATATTTGTATTCGATTGTGTAATATTGTGTACAGATGTGACCACTGTGGTCGCGGGGGTCGGCGTCGATGTGGTCGGTGTCGTAGTCAAAGTCAGCGTAGACAACTCTTTTACAGTTTCTGTTAGTATATTTGGCATGGTCGTATCTTCCAAAGTACTTTCTAAAGTGTGAGTGATGTCAATATTGCGGGTGTTGGTCACTTCTTCAGAACTATTTGTTTCCTCGTAGTCGCTATAAATTATGTTGCCGAAGTAATCTGTTTTCTTCTTTTTGGTTTTGCGCTTCTGGGCTATCTTCTCCAATCTTTCTCTTAGGTCGGGAACTTCACTTTTGCTATCTCTACTTACTAAGTTACTCCATTCGGTCTCTGTCTTATTTTTCAAGACTTGAGTGAAAGGTTTCGAAGAATTTTTAGGTTTGAACACTATCCCTAACGAACTAATGCTCTCATTTCTCCAGCTGTTGTCATCTGGATCTCTCACGAATTGTTTCGGTGGTTGGATCTCAAGTTTCTTCATGGGCTTGTAGTTTGGACTGACTGTATAGACGACAGTGCTCTTACCTTTATCTTGAGAAGGCTTGGTATTAATAATTTCTTCGGTGTTGGTCTGTACGGTGCTTTCCAAATCTTGTGTCGATGTGAAAATACTGAATTGTTCCAGAAAAGAAAATGTGGTATCTGTATTATTTACATGCCCTTCGCGAATTTGTTGAGCCATTTCCTCGTTATTTTTCAACGACGTTTCTTGAAGCATTTCTTCCTTAATCGCGTCTTCATCCTGGAATAATAAGACACGAACATAATAACTGACTAAAGCATAAATACTTCACATAAAATTGAAATAAGGTTATAACAATATTTACTTACTAAATAACTCTGGGATTTGGATGCCTCTACGGTGGTACGACCTGAGATGGCGTCGTAATCGTTTTCGAGTGCCAGTGTCGTGTGATCTCTGTACGCAGTCTCCGTTGTAATAACTTCACTCGTTGTCTCGTATTGCTTAGACTTGGATGAATAATTTAAAAATCCGGCTCGCTTTGACGACACCGTTTCAAATTTAGGTTTCTGTAACGATACTTCGAAAGGGTTTGTTATATTTTCTATTTCTTGCGTTATAAGTACATCTGGATAGCCGGTAGTACCGGGCACGTCCCGCCGCGGTGTCGGCGTAGTCGCTATAGAGTACTCCGTCGCTACTCTCCTCAGAACCTCCTCAGATGTCGCCGAGGTCAAAGTCACCAGAGATTCTGCTTTCTTGTCATATTTATCGGTTGGAGTGATTGTCTCATTCTTTATAACTTTTGTTATCCTATCTATAACTGTATATTTTCTCCGTGCAGTAAAATTAGTATTTATGTCAACATAATCACTACTATTAACGACGGGTAATGTAGAGATGTATTTTTCCGCTAAAGTTACATTCTGTAAAGGTATAGTTGCGAGCTGGTCCAACGGAATTTGTTCAATTGTATCATTAAGTGTAGTACTTAAATCAAAGGTGTCATTAAGTGCTCTAACATTAATATTCTCAACAGCTAGTGACATAGAATTGTCCATGTCTGCAGGTTGTGTCGCTTCAGTCAACTCGACGTAATTATGAGTCGTACAATTTCCAGTGACTGTCGGCCCTACAGTTACCTTTGGAGTTTTGGTTGTTATATTGGTTTCTGAATGTATTGTGGTGTGTTCCTTTAATACACTTCTTTCAGAAATGTTATTTTTTGTAGTCATATTATTATCTATTGTTTCCGAGATGACATCGGGATTGTACTTTATTGCGGCTGTCATCCGTATATATGTCGACGACGAGGGATTGCTACTATTGGGTAAATCGGTAGTGGATGTAGGCACCTCGTTACTTTTATTAAAGATATTTGTCTTTAAGTCATTAGGTCTTTTGAAGTCATGCCTGACCTCGAGCTGCAGACTCTCGTCTACAGCGAGATCTAGCGCGGGCGTCCTCGTCGTGTTGAAGGAGCTCCTGATGGCGAATGCGCTCACATTTGTAAAAATGACATCTAGTATCACCACGACGCTCAGCGCGTATCTGAAAGCAGGATATGCATATAGTATCCTTATTTATTGAATATATTAAAACCTAGAATTTTGATAATAGTTTATATTTAAAGTGTAGTTTCTACTGTATTCGTTCTGCGGCCGTTTAAATAACAAACCTAAGCGTTTGCTGTGGAGTGACGCCGGCACTGGGGAGGCGCGAGGTGCAGTTGCAGAACGATAGGTTATTATCAAACATGTTCCCGGCGCCGGCGAAGCAACACGTCTCTTTGGTAGTTCACATTGTACCCCACGTGTTTACATAACACGTCTAGTTTGGTCTCTGACCGCCGTGCGTTGTGCGGCCACTGCACGCACTAAAATTTGCTCAAGTTTCTCTAACTAATTTTAGTAATGGAGAAAAATAACAATAAAAGGAAATGCCATTTTCCCTACAATTTCAAGGAAATGTCTGTTTAAAATTAAATACCACGTATTTTTTAATACAAGGGTAATATAAATTAACTTAAATGGAAATTAAACTCTTTATAAAAAGTAATAATTACCAGCAAAATGTTTAACGAATATGAATATTTAATGATAGTATCCCGTTGATCCACTTAGTTAAATTACGAATTAACACGAGTATTTTAAAAAAACTGTATATTTTGAGCAATCAGCATTTAATTTGGGAAAAAAGTTTTACAAGTACAGTTCATCAGTACAGTACTATGACAGGAACAGTGCCGGAAATAACATGACGTCACAATAACTAAGTCCCGTGGCAGATCATATTAATAATATCCATAGCCATAGATAAAATATTTTAAACATAAGAAAAACAAAGGACTATGGGATGTGAGATATAAAAGTTATAGAATGGACGAATAAGGAATTCCGTTTTACAATTCAGTATTCATTTTACAATATCCGCCGTTCAGAATGACATAAAGTTGACGTTCAAACTGCATTGAGGCAACTCGTATAAAAACCCATACAAAAACCATGACGATGTGTACAATCTAGCAAGCCTTACTTACCTAGCAGTTGACTAGCCTAGGTTTAAACACCCCTTAAGTAAGACTCGATGGGTACATGCCGATGACCACACATTACTGCGAACGGCTCACATTGCGTACGCTACTACTAATCGTCGTATCTTTTGTTTACACTCGTACATCGACACTCGCCCGCTGATGATACGTACATATTTACAGTAGCAATATTCGTTACATCATTATTCAACAATTCTTCAATTTGTCGTTTACTACTCAACATTAGAGGAAACAGCGTACAGTCGTTGTATACTTTCATTGGAAACAGTTATCTTTCAAGGTCGAAATACAAATTAGTTCACTGCGACAATGAACTTTCTAACAAATGTTACATTTTATATGTGAAAATTGTAGTCGCTTTAGAAACAACTGCAACGGAGCTTTGCATTCAGTATCACGGAGCACGCAAACTGAGGCAAAAGAAACTACGAGAACTTGTCGGTTATTACATATTAGATCCATCCAATTTTATTTATTTAACTAGGAGAAGTAACGCGGATATTGGCCAACTGCGAGTTGCCAACAATTGTAATAAGCTATGGATTTGCCGATTCATTTTCGCTATGAGCTGGTATTATCGCGAACAAGTGTACTACATACGTGTACATTATGTTGCACAAGATATACCGGTATATCACTACAATAGACAGGTACACCGTTGTTACAAAATCAAGAAAAGATCAATTTTTTATTACATAAAGTACAATTTACTTTGCAATTAAAGGGTAAGCAAGTGCAATGGAATGACAACGAGGTATCTAACAAGATATTGAAATATTATTAAAAAGTTTGTATTCATTTGAAAACAGAAGTAATCATAAATTACTAAAAGTTTGTTAGCCTTATAATCATAATTACACAATTATTACATAATCTTTATTTCCCTAAATTAGCAAAAGTTTCGTTTCCACGTCAAGATACCGCCGACGCCGGATCACCGCTCGGACGCGTATCCGAATTTGTTGAATAATAAATCATTCTCACGACCAACGTTTTCATATACGAAACAAAACAATATCTGTGGTGATAGAAAGCATTTTTTGCAGCACCTGATATTAATGAATCTCAATGTGTTTGTAATAAATTCTCACTGTAACAATTTCAGAGAATCATCGTCACTTTTGTGTTGCTAATCAACAGCGTGATTGTTACTTTATCGAAGTTATTCAGCATCACGAGTGGCAGAGTGCAGCTACACCGCTTTAGTTTACTACATCAATATATGTATATCATAATATCTTTATTGTACAGTGCAACGCGTTATGTAAACTGACACTTTGCTTTAGTCAAAATAATTTAATGCGGTTACTTGGATTTAATTCCACCTTATTACAGACGCCTGGAAATTTTCAAAGAATCGTCAATGGGCCCAATCTACAATCAAAGAAGAGCAACAGGACTAAGAAAACAAAATTACAAGATGCATTTCTAGTAAGAAATCAGTTAAGATTACATATCAAAAATGTATAAAACACATCTATCTAACATTTATGGTAATTAAATGCCATCCAACTCCAACACAATACATTCTGAAGAATCGTTCGGCGAAGTTTGTTGTTTTTAGATTATTGTTTTATTATTGTATTTACTCGGCTTTCCGTGTTTGTGAAAACGAAATAATGGAATAAACGATTTCCGACGCCGCGCGGTTTCTTTAGTAGATTATTGTTTAAAATATACAGGTAACTCTGCGTACAGGAACTTTTTTTTGCATTTATTTGAAAATGTGATTTAATACTCGTATTATTAGTGGGTACAGCAACGAAGGAAGTAACTCAATATGACATATAGTCACACTGTTAGATCTGAAATCGCGGCTTCAGTAGTTTACCAAAACGCACACAGCGCAGGTCCACTATGGTGGAGAAAATAAACAGATTTTAATGATAAACTCAGATGTTTTCTGACATCAATCACAGTAAAATGATAGAAAGCAATAAAGATGTTTGTTTGTAAATACAAAGTTGAATAATGAATGACAAAAGTCGATACGCAACTTTTTAATCGAGTGCAATATTCATGCAACACTCGACTTCGCGTCTTGGGGAGCGAGTTTTTCACTAGAATTGTCGCACCTCAGTTGTGTCCATCAATATTCATATTAGCCGATCTTGAACCTGGGACCTGCGCCGGCTCGGCTGCGAGCTGGCGCCCCCAACTCCAGCGCCCGCGGCTCGCTGCGATTGCGAATGATATGTAACACTATGTTAATGCGTTTCTTGCACCGAGCACTTCGACCAAGCGTAAATTTCTTGTATTTTCGTATTGTTCTAATTTAATTTGAGAATTTTGCAAACGGCGCATGCATAAATCGACGTGAAATTAATGCGCTTAACCGACTTTCCCCCACGTGCGTTTTGTTACATACCACATAATTATTTAAATCAGCCAATAAAATATCCGGCGCTAATCTAAAACGTAATACAAAACGACTAATAAAAATAAATCAGATTTTAGAAATTTTCCAACTTTCCGTTTTACAAAATGTGAACGTGCTTTGGCTTAATAAAATTCAAAACTTGTCACTTAAAAAGCGCGGCAATCGGCTTCCAAATAAGACATTTGTAACGTTTTGGCTAATTACAGGACGACATCGGCCGCCGTTTTCCGCACTGATTGGTTCGCATACCTGAGACTGCAGCGCGGTGACATGTTGGCGAGCGAGTGAGCGTGCATCACGGGCGCCGCATGGCCGGACACTGACACGCGCGCGCCGCGGTTGCTTCCCGAGCACTGGCCACCGGCCGCTGCCACCTGCCAGCGACCGACGCCAGCCGCCGCCGGTGGCGCAGGCGATGGTCCTCTACAATCGTCCACTCGACCCTACAGCGCATCCTGCAGGTAGCAGACAAGCGGCGAAGCGCCTGCAGCCAGCAGCCAGCAGCCCCCGCCACTACTTAGGGCTAGGAGCTGCGTGATCTGTTATAATTAAAAATAAATTCATTGGAATCACTGTTGCGTTGATTATTATCATCCTTTTCCGATACAATATCGAAACCATACTTCAATAAAATGTGGAAAAAAATGGACCCGTCAGGATGTGAGTTTTTGTGTGACTGGTGAACTTTTGTGGTTTAGATAAATTCATCTCAAGAAATCAGAAGCTATCGTTAATCGTATATTTAAACTTTAAAGGAATTAACACGGCATGAAAGTTCATAATATGAAAAAATGTAAATAACGTAGAAGTAAGAATGTTGAAAAAATACAAACTAAAGTTAAAGTTTATTATATTAAAATGACGTATAAAATGTATGTACAAAGTCTCGGGAACCGCCTCTTACACATACGTTGCATATTTATGATTTTATTATTGGTACTGCATGAATTTAAATTGCTTGTTTCGGTGTTGCATGGACACACTTTCCACACGAGCGTACTTGGATCAATATACTCTTTAAGCTCGTCCTTGTATACTGTCACGCTTCATAATGATATTTTTTCTGACCGGATTTTCCTAAAACAAGTCAACGGTATCATGTCTCTATTTGAATTGAAAGAGATGGAGACTGTTAACCAACTAAATAAGAAAATAATGATGGTGTTTTTGGGCTTGACTTGGATCACAAAGTAGGCAGTTAAATTTTATTAGTATGCTAGAAAACTTGCTCGTCAACGGCATCTAGTGGTCAAGAAAAATACTAAGTCATTCTTTGCCAGTAAATGTGGCCCGTGCTTTTGTAAAGTTGCCATTATAAATATTTTTTGATTGAGTCAAAGTGTAGTCTGGATGGAAGTAATACTGGTAATACTAGAACAAGAATGAGTGCTATCTGTACATCTTGCAGTTAAAATAAAAAAAAAATAAAACGTTGTGCTAAGGGCGTAAGAATCTAGTTGCGCACAAAATAAAATTGAGGCTGAGTGAGAGGGCTACAAGTGTCCGCTGTGTCTCTTTCTAACGGTGACCTAAAGTTGCCAGATATCAATCCTTTCATTGATTGTAGAAAAATAGGCGTTTGATGCAATGTAATGAAATAATAACATTTACTTTTAAAATGTTTCTAAATAATAAAAATAATTTATTACCGACATGTTGAAGCAATATTATTTGTTGCTATGTGTAAAACCTTATTAACACAAAAAAATTGTGATTGGGGTTTAGGTTTTATTTTATTTGTTTGAAATTCCGACACACGAACTGGCAACCCCCACATGACATTCCGACTCGGACGTTAATGAATCTTTTTGGATTTCATGTTATTTTGAAGAATTTTAGTTAAAATGGGAAAAATTTGTGTCGTGCAGGTTTGCCGAAACAGGTATTATGCTGTTTTTGGGTTACATTTTCATAGGTAATAGATTTTTTTATAATTTTTGATAAGTTTTTCTATAAACAAAAACATTTTTTTTATAATTATTGTCTTAAATTACATTTCTACATAGTCACCATCGCCGGAGAGGGATAAAAGGTACAGTTATTGAGGTCTCTCTCGACTTCAATTTTGCGACAAGAGCTCATTCCTGTTCAAGTAGTACTTCCACGGTAGTCTGTTCTATTTTCAAATACTCTTTGAACCTGAGTCAGTTGAAGTTTCAAAAGTTTAAAAACTGAATCAACTAAACAGAAAATAGTTGTTTTGATTGTGTGTCGAAAATAATACGTTTTTTTGTTTTAGCGCCCTTTTACGTGTAATCATATTATATTCATAAAGAAATAAATAAAGATATTTCGTCTTCGATTATCCGGAAGAAAAAAGGCATAATATTCTGATGGCTGAGTTTAAAACACCAGTTAAAGTTAAACCAAATACAACTCCTGACGAAAGTGACCAAATATCTATTCCGCCTTCACCATTTTTAAATCGTCTGGGATATGGGACAGGTAAAAGGACGCATTTTCAGAACAATCTATGATGTAAGAATAATTTCTTGTATGTTTACATGTACCATTTTCCAGGTGTATCCGTTATGCAGCTCGTCAGATCGCCTAAGGCGGGGCAAATCCGCTCTCCTTGGGCTCTTAAAATGCTCAACAAACGAGTTAAACCAAACAAAGTATATACAGAAAGGTTACAAGCAGAGGCGGAGCTGTTACAACGTATGTCTCACCCCAATATCGTCGGGTTTCGAGCTTTTGGCACAAATAAGAACTTGTATTTAGGAATGGAAGCTTGTGATCTCTCACTGGGAGATATGATTGAGAAGAAAGTTGAAAATGACTGTGAGCCTTTTGCTCCTAAGTATATTTTAAAGGTAATAAAATGGAACTTGACTTTATGAATCTGTAAACAATTGATAGACATTATTTTAACAGTGCTTTAAACAATGTATTTCAGGTAGCAGCAGATATTGGCAATGCTCTGGACTACCTGCACACCAAGATGCAGATACTGCACGGGGATATCAAGTCATACAACATATTAGTAAATGGAGATTTTGTAATTTGCAAACTCTGTGACTTTGGTGTGACTCTACCACTTGATGAGAATGGTGTATTAGATAAGCAGAAAAAGAAATATGCTGTATATTTTGGTAATACATATTTTCTATTTACCTATGTATCAACAAATATTGATGAACTAAGTTACAGAGGAACTAGATAACCTAAATATTGATGTTTTTTTCTTAGTGACTATCTAAATATTTTTAATTCATCATTAATATTTTTTTTTAGGTACAGAAGCATGGAGTGCCCCCGAGGTGATCCACGGAGGCACCATCAGCAGTGCGACGGACATTTGGCCGCTGGGGCTGGTGTTCTGGGAGAT